GTGTGCCCTTCAGGCTCTGCCCAAGGAGTGGGTTTTCACCTTGGTATGCACAGCAAGATGGAGCAGAAACTTGGAAGCACTGAGTGGACTTGGGTGTGAACAGCATTTTCTGCGATTTTTTTTTCCTGTGGTCTTACTGTTGTGTCTGCAGAGAATTTCTTGTACCAATGGCTACAATTTTTTGTCCTCTACAAGACTATAACTTTTAATTTGCCCTAGATTAGGGCATCCATACTGTAAAGATTAACCAATATATTTATTATAAAATATTCTAATTTAGGTAGAAGTCCCATTTTTTTTATCTCTCCTCTCTCTCATCCCCAGAATAAGGATTCCTCATAGGTCCTGCTGGATGGAGAAGAGGAAGAAGAAAAAGTGTTTTACAACAGCTGAAATACCTAATTTATTTTAATTCCCCGAAAAAATTAAAACAAATATGTCTGTAAAAGCCAGACAACATAAATTACTAAATTATCACATTCCCAAAATGAACAGTTAAACTAAGGTGTATGCTAAAACACACGTACTAAGTCTCTTCTGTATCACTGGCAATTCCTTGTACTGTAATTCTGATCTTACTACACTATCAATGAATATACAGTCACACTTAAACAGACATGGTCAGATTTCTGCCAGCTCTTCAGTCCTCTTTAATACTTATAAAATTTAGATCACAGAACTCAGCCAATGCAATTATAAGAGAAACAAACTCTTTCAAGTCTTAGCTGGCATCTTATGAACAATCAACTGACAAAGGTACCAAGACAATATTTATGACCTTTATAAAATAAAAATAAACAAAGAAATTTGATTGAAAGCTTACATTAATTGAGAAAACCCACTAACAGTGCAATAATGATGAAAATCCAATGAAATACTGATGTAGTGTCAAACACAGGCTTTGGCCTCCACGATTTCTGCAAGACCCAGGAAATCTCCACCATGCATATTCTAGCAGAAAAGATAATGAAACTTTTTAGTGCCTCATATATTACCAAGGAGGTCTACATGATCCATCTTCCTAGAATACATGTGATGAGAGTTTGTTGACCTTTGCCAGATTCATAACAGACAGTAAGGCTGTACCAATCATTGCTTTGGCATGTGGCCAAAATATAAATACTTTTTGGTAATATTAATTATAAAATTACCCAGAAGTACCCAAAGCAATAATTTCTCTGATAAAGGTCCATTCTTACAATACCCATAACTTTGCATACTCCAACACTAGCCCTGACAACTGTGAAGGGTATAAAGTACACAAGAAATTCTACATCAAAAATGATTTTGCATGCATATAAAGTAGAAATGATAATTCATGCTAATATCATGCATATGATCAATTTCCTTTGTTGACAACTCATTTCCCACAAACAGGATTATATCAAAGGTTCATCAGAACCAACAGTACATTAACTGAGAGCCATCAGTGAGTGTTAGCTTCAAGTAACTGCCATGGCCTCTGTACCTTCAGCCCTTCAGCAAAGGCTAATAAACTTCACCACATATACTCTTGTATCATATAGTATGACCAGGTTCTTTCGGTTAATTTTCCAACTATGACAATCGGGTCTTCCCTGACTATATTTATATCACACAAGAACAAATCTGATGATCATTTCCATCGCATACTCCAGTCTTGATGTGATTTGATAAGTCACGATAGCAGGGGAGGGCTTGAAGTAAATAAGGGAAATTATGGAGTAAAACAGGTTGAAATAAGAAAAATAGAGAATAGGAATAAGCACATAAAGCGCTTAAAATCAGCTAATGAAACTCTACAGACATCCTGCCATCTTTGAAAGTCTACAGACTGACACACCAAATTTCGAAAAACTACTGGAACTAAACCATCGGTTGGCAAAAAAAATCTATGGGATTTCACATAATTCAGATCCCCTGTGGTAATCGTACCATGCATCCTAACCAATAAACTAACCTAACCTTAATCCTGTGGAATTTATACACCATTATCTATATATTCCCTAGCCCCATGGTAATATGTACACCTAGCCAGAAGGCTATGCCCCTCGACCCCCATAGTAATATATAAGCCTAGCCAGCGGGCTCTGGACCCTGGACCACCATAGTAATTTATACACCTAGTCAGGGGGCTATGCTCCCTGGATCCCTATGGCTTTAACCCAATGGTGATGGATGAGGAAAAAAAACAACAAAAACAACAACAACAACAACTATACGCTCTGGCAATCAATGGCAGTACGCCGATTTTGAGCGCGGGAGTTCGGTACATCAGGCCGAATCACCGGCTTGCCACGTTTTGGTGTGCTGCTGCGGCGTACAGCTGCACGCCACATTTCGAGCAGTTTGTTTTCACACCTATCAGCGTCACCCATCATGAAGGGGTTAAGAAAATACAATCTATATATTCCCTAGCAAAGGGAAATACCAAAAGAACATAAAAGAAGTATAATAAAACTACAAGAATGCATAATATACATGAATTCAGAAATATAATTAATAATTACAAAATAAACATTCTCACAAGTGCGCAGCAATACATGGACTACTTGATAGATCGCAGTAATGAGTTACGTGTCACATTTGATTTCGTCGTTGCAAAGTAAATTTGGATGAGGACTTAGAAAATGAAGGGTCGATCTTCTCTATTCTCTGGCCTGTATATCCTTTCTTTACAATTTGTGCACCTTTTGCCACAGTTGAAAGTTTCTTAGTTTTTATCAAGGTTACCACTCCATGCACCTTTTTTACCGTAATCCTGGTTATCATACACAGAAAGTTTTCCATTCTTTCAGACCTACAATTTCTATTTAACCAGATTATTCTTGGAGGTTTATTGGCCTTTGGTAGAATAACATCAGGCACAAAGACTTTGGCAATCACTGGACATTCCACATATCTATCGATCTATCATTATGGGTAGTTCATAGTGAACTGAACATGATGCATATGTACAATATATACATTGCACACAAAGGCCTTTCTGGATAAATACCAAAAAGTCTAAACTTCAGTCAATGTTTACTGCTATTCAGTCAAATGATTGTCTAATCTTCATGGTATGGATGCATTAAGGTTAGGTAAATTTAAAGTGATATTCGTGTAGAGGACAAAAAGTTACAGTAGTCGGTACAAGAAATAATCTTCAGACACAAACTAAAACACCACAAATAAAAGGAAAAACACAGAAAGCTCTGCTCATAGCTAAAGTCTACTCAGTGTTCCTGTGAGTAACTTTTTATATACTTCTTACATGCATACCCAGGTGAAGACAATGTTTCCCAGGGAATGTCGGGGGCAGAACAACCCCTGGCAACCCTCTCTTCTGTCATAGAAACTTGTTGAATTAATTTTACCACTTGCATCCATGTTGTAAATTACCGGGTGATTCAAACACATTCAAGGTAAAACTCAGCTTGGTCTCAATAGCCTCTATTGGTCAATATGTAGTATAAGGTAGTGGCAGAGGTGGGTAATAAAACCTACATTAAATGATAGAACAATACAAAACATGACAAAGTTCTTCTATGGCAATGTGTGTGCAAATGCTTCCCAAGGGTGCTATACGTAAAAGAAAGGAGAAGATCCCCTCCGGTCAATATGTAGAAGAGGGTTGTGGGTTACTTTTGAAACAATTTTTATATTTTTCTGCCTTAATCCACTAGCCTCCGGGCTAGTACAGTGGTAACGTGTCGGCCTCTCATCCGAGGGGTCGGCGGTCCGCGCCCCGCCCAGGCGCGAGAAGTTGCAATCATTGCCTGGAGGTTACCGCTGTGGCTGGGCACCACGGTGGGTAAGGACTAAGCTCACCCGAGTCAGCACCTGCTGACACACTGTTAGCGAGTCGACATTAGTCGGCACAGGCCGGGCTCCCCTCATAGCCCGAGCGAAGCTCAGCTTCCCATATCGGACTTATCCTTAATCCACTGCTTTCAATGATTCTAGACATTGTTCCTTGTGCAAATGAATCGTTGAGGAGATATGATCATCTCCATCGACAATCTTGATTTGATAGTCCCGATAGCAGGCAATGGCATGAAGTATATCAGGGAAATTATGGTGTAAAACAGGACCCCAGTGGTTGTTAAACAAAACATCCTAACTAAACATCCAACCTAACCAAACACAGTGGTATATACCCCTGTGGTAATATATATGCCTGGCACCCTTGGGAAGCGTTTGCACACATATTGCCATAGAAAAAGTTTGTCTTGTTTTGTATTGTTCTATCATTTAATGTAGATTTTATTACCCAATTCTACCACTACCTTATACTACATATTGTCCCCTCTATCTTCTTATGCTAGGGAGGTGTGTCTTCTAATAGTATTGTTGTGATTTGCAAGGCTAAAGAAAATAGAACAGGATAATAATGTTTTTATCTGTGCTTTTCATTGTATATTTACCCTGTGATGTTGATATTCTTCCTTTCTGTATTGTTATAACTTTTTTCAACAATTACTACACTAACTGCTCCTACTTACACAACCAAGAAACAACAAAATAAACTTATCACCGAGTTACGAATCATAAAAAGGGTTACACGAAAAGAAACAGACAAATCCTTTCACACAAACATGAACATCTTCCCCTCCCCTTCCCACACAATGAATATAAAGCGAGAAAGACACGAATTACCGCTTCGCCATGACGAGACGAGCATCTGTCGACATGCATGGGATAATCACTCCATTTTCCTTTCTGTCCAGGACCAGGAAGCCAACGCCTGGCACCCATTCGCAACTCGAGCGTCCTTGCCCATTAAAGCGTAAGGAGAGGAAGAAATAACAGTGAAAAACGGAGGGCGCAAAAGGAGGGACGTGGTGAGGGGAAATTCCACACAAAATCCTGCGAATCGATCTCCAGAAAATTGACTTTGGGCTCAAGACTCTCCTCGGTTTTCCTACTCCTCTCTGCCTTGCCATTCCTCGAGGACCGTCCTCCAAGGGGCGTCTGGACACTCTCTTTCTTTCCAGCTGGGTGCAGAGACTCAAGAATTAACCCGAATCGCTACTTACGTGTGTTTATGTCCTCCTCCCCCGCGAGTCATCTACTTGTAGGATAAAATGGCGATGTTCCTGTAACTTCGGGAGGGAGGTTATTCTTCCCTCCTCCCTCGGGTTCTGCCTTGTTCTTGAGGGGGAAATGCCCGTTGTTGGGAGAGATTTGACCCGTCTGGTATCAGCCTCCAAGAGCTTCGGCCTTAGCTCTCCCCGACGCGAGTTTTATTTGATTGGAAGGGAAAGGACCAATGGCATTTTTAGGAGTCTTTGCTGTGTCTGCCACATCTGTAGGCGACGCATTTCAATCGTTTTTTTTGGCGAATAAATTATCCATATATATTCTTTCTGTTTCTACTGATGTGATAGATTAGCAGGAAATAATTACGTGTATCAGCATGATCTTTGTTTTACAAAAAATGATACCCTATGTAAATGTAGAAGTGTTCGTAATAATATGATTATTATATTTTGCGTCTAAAACTCTCACCCGAATTCTCACACTATACACCTGAAAAAACAACCTGTTCCCTCACATATTAATTTTTAAAATAGAATGATTATCGTTATCCTGAGGAATTTATAAGGGCGGTCTTTCCATTCCAATAATCTCTCCCTGCATGACTGCTTTCTTGTTCAATGTATTCACATTTTCTCTAAATATTCCACATATACATGATGTATTCAATTATAATCAGTTTTCGGAGACTATTCGAAAATTGTACGTGATTTTTTTTTTCAGTGGTATAATACGTCAAACTCCCATTATAATGGTTTTTACTTCTGACTACTCACAAATGTTTACCTAACCCATGCATATAAAATACAGATTTAACCTATTTATTGTAGTTGCTAATATAGTAAAAATCAAACCTAAAACACTTCAGAATGTATATATATATATATATATATATATATATATATATATATATATATATATATATATATATATATATATATATATATAAATCTATTAAATATTACTTAAGGCCAGTAGGTTTCACTAGCCAGACTCAGACTTGTCAAAGTCGCTTACGGCCGCCCACCCTGCGTATTGGTTCCCTATTGCAGTCCATTCCAAGCTGGATTCAGTTAGGACAGTTGTAAAAATGTTTAAACCTGCTTCATAATACTAAAAAATCTAAGATTATCATAGACTATGTATCAAAACTATTCACGAAAAATTACGATTTACGAGCGCCTATGCCTGGCCAAAGGTGAAATATAAATCAACGTCTAGGAAAGTTGACTTTGATAAGTGCTTCACACAGTCGAAATGCAGAAGTTGTGCATTTTTAGGAATGATTTCCTCTGGTTCTTCATTTACTGTCACCGTGAAACAAACATTAATTGCACTAATATTTCCGCGAGCCCGTCGGATAGTCAAGAAACTTTTATTTTGCCAGTAACGTGTAGGGTGGCGACTGATAATGACTAGTGGAATCGGGCTTTGCGGAGCGCCTTTCTTTTACTTATCATATTATTCAAATATAGTGTCCACAGTTGTTAGTCACATCAAGTTCTAATGCCACTTAGTACGTCTTTCAATGTTGCGTGTATCTTGGTTCAGTTCAGTGAGATTTACGAAGGCTAGCTTCGCTTGGTCGTGTGTGTACCTCAATAAATGGAAACTATATATCGTTCGTACCTGAAAGAGGTTTTGCATTAATACAGAGTCCAAATCCCCACTTCTACACACCTAACTATGCTAGTACCTACTTTATCAAATAATCACAAAGGTCTTGAGTTATATACCTCCTATGAGTAACAAATAAAATTCATGCTTTATGCACCTAATTGTGTTGTACATATAACAGGCCTAAAGTAAACAGATTCTGAGCTGGGGACTCCCATCACTACATCACAAACGAGTTTGTTCAGTCAGCAGCATCGAATTTTGGGCCATAATTACAAAGAATTACAAAGGTGGGAAAAGCTACAGACCAATGACAAAATTTCTCAATTAATAGAATATAAATATTAGAATATGCACACTCAAAGTGGCCAGTATCTAGAGGTAGATTATGCCTTTCCCAAATCCTGAACCACTGCGAAGAGATCCTAAACACCTTACCAAAAATCTAGCTGCAGACTATTGTACCCAGATTTAACAAAAGCTTTCGATGAGGAATTTTATTCCACAAGATAAAGGACCTTGGGGTCAGATGAAACGTACTATTGTAGCATTAAAACACACACAAATAGCAAACAAAAAGTCATAGTAAATGGGTATTTCTATAATTTAAGCAACGGTCACACTAGTCTTCTCTGTCCAGGGATCACTAGACAACCACGTCGAGTGATCAGTTACAAAGTAGGTTTAGTCACACTACACTGTGTCCTATGGAAAAAACATCGTCCCTGATAAGACCAATGTGTCTACAAATAAGATCTCATTACTGAGCTACTCAAAGTCGCCCGTATCGAGCTTGAGGTCACTTGGATTAAAGCCTAGAGGTTCGACGCAAATCATGTGGTCAGTCGTGAATGGAATGCTGACCTGGAAATATTTCCCTCTCTCGCCCGATTTTGCTTTCATGACTGACTGGCGCGCACAAAAGCCGCAATACCCCATATATGTTAAGTGGTTGGATGTAATATTTATACACTAGGGACTATGTATTTATTGTCATTTAGTTTATATATGTATATGCATATGTACTGTTATTGTTATCATAAATATATCTATATCTATCTATTTATATATATACATATATGTATACATATATATGTATATATACATATATATGTATATATACATATATATGCATATATATATATATATATATATATATATATATATATATATATATATATATATATTAGCTTTACTTCGATTTTATAAATATATTATAGGCCTTATCACCCAAAGCTGAACAGAACTCCTTAGTGACGAGACCTTACTTATATAAACCTTGTCTACAATAACCTGGATGAACTATATATCGAAGATAGTCGTAAATTCTGGGAATATATAATTGCATGTCGATTGAAATGATGAAAAAAAAATATTAGAAAAAGCCAATCCACACATTTTATTAACTTTCTGATATTCCATATTACAAAATAAACAAAATCCGACAATATTGTTTCCAGTGGCATATACAACTGTTAGTGTAACCAGCAATGTACGAGAGGCGTAATTATGAACTGATAAGAACTAAATATGAGAGGAAGCCAATACTGTAACTGAAACTGAGTAAATTATCATTACCTGTCGACTGTGACACAGCCTTGAGAGTCATACGATTACACTCCGTGCAAATGAAAATTTCTTGTTGATTTTATCCATTATTGTTATTTTTAACTTGTTCTCTGGTTCCCATTTTGTCCACTAGCGCGTAACTAATGTCTGAGGAGAGCTTCGTGTCTTCGACAAGTCGGAATGGGCGTGTGTTTGCTTTCCTTGAATGAACATTTGTCTGGATAATCTTTTTTTAAAAAAATGAGACATTATTACTATTTAAATAAATACTGTTTATTTTTGCAATACAATTATAACTAATATGATATAATAATCACTGTTTAGACAGTCAAGTAATAAGCTTTCCAATAATCATACTACAGTTTTTGCTTTGGCATCACCTTTCCCTCTCACTAGCCAAGACGAAGTACCAACACAACGGTGTTGCACTGGACAGGGATTTTAATCTCGCTTCCCCGCTAGGGAAGCATCCAGCTCTGTAAAAGGATCCTTGAACAGAATAGACTAGTGTGATCGTCCCTGGATCAATGGATCAACTGTATGGAATGGAGTGCCATATGGGTCATTTCTTGGACCTCTGTTATTCCTGTGTATGATAGTGAATATCTATAGACATTAAATATTCCAGAGTAACGTTTATTACAGACGATACAAGTACAAGGGCAACACATTGTTTATTAGATAAAGAGGATGAATTAAAACATAGTCTACATCTCATTTGCAACAGGGCAAGTAAAACCACATGGAATTAAGTGCTGTCAACTTCGATGTTATAAAATAAAGGCCTAGTCAAGCCCAAGATCAAAGAAAAATATTTGTGTAAGATCTAAGCTTATTTGGGAGTGCTGACCTGAGTTTTGGTAATCTCATTGAACAGACAGTTATCAAAGAAAAACAGTTCTCAGTGGGTGGGTAATGAGGAGTTTTCAAACGAGACCAAGGACTACGTCACTAGTTTTTTCCAAGACTCGAAGATTACTACCAAGTATGGAATCCAAGTCCAAGAAAGAAAGAAAGACATGGCAGGTCTTAACTATCAGATGAGGACTATATGAAGCTTTACTCTTTAAACAGAAAGAGATTAAGATATTTCACTATATATGGATAAAAAATCATTGAAAATTTGGCATCTAATGCATTAGAAATGGGGAATTAGAGTACATTACCTGATATCAATGATTTTAAGGAAAATGCAGTTTTTATTAGGTCAAATATTCGAAACGTAATAGTGTGTACCATAAAGTATTTAACTAAAATTAGGTTACTGGTAAAAAATAACACGCGAATGCACATGCACGAGCGCATGTAGGCATACACTAGTACACACAGTGACACACGAACGCATATACACGCGCGTGTATGTATATATATATATATATATATATATATATATATATATATATATATATATATATATATATATATATATGTGTGTGTGTGTGTGTGTGTGTGTGTGTATGTATGTATGTATATGTATACATACATACATATATATATATATATTATATATATATATATATATATATATATATAGAGAGAGAGAGAGAGAGGTGTGTGTGTGTGTGTGTATTTATGTATGTATATGTATACATACATATATATATATATATATATATATATATATATATATATATATATATATATATATATATATATGCACAGATTCGTTTACATTCGAATCCAGCAGGGATTCGAATCCAGCAGCGAATAAAGAAACGTATTCGCATATTTCCAAAAACACGATTATAGACATGCACATTTGTGTATCGACAATATGTTCCGTATATTGATTGCCTGTACAATCAGTTCCTAATTGTTACTTTAATTAGTTTTATTAATATCGCGAAATCGTCATTGTGAACATTACTACCTTTGTTTCCATCAACACTCATTGTATCCAGTATAAACATTCTATTTATTATTGGTGCTACCGCCACTATAATAAACATTAATGCCATGACCGTTATAACGCTAGTACAATTTAGTACACAAACATAAGAACATATTTGGAACAACTGAATAGCAATTGGAAAGCATTACCAACGGGACTTACTTCCCAAAAAGTACTTCGTCACAAACAATCACCCCGGCAACTTTCCCAATTCGTTATTGATTTTACGATAACGGTAATAATATAATCTACACAGGGTAATTAATTCGTCTTTCTAATATATGTTCGGGGGGAAAAAAACATAATCATTGCAGTATATAACAAAAAGAGACCGAAAAAAGACGGGGGAAAAATCATTCTTTTTTTTCCGCTAACATTTTCACTCTCTTTTATTCAGTTTTTTTTTCTTAGTTATTATTTATTTTTCTCTTTCTCTGTTTCTCTCTCGCCTTGTATTTTCTCTTCCTTGCTTTTTTTTAAGGCTACCGCGCCCCTCAAATATTATGCAAGTTTAGTGCTCAAATCTGTGGTGTAAATGATCATGGTTAAAAGTAATAATTTAAATTATATTAGTATTTACTTGGGTTGTGTAGAATATGACTTTTGTTTGAGAAGGAAGTTTCTACCTATTTAAATTTGTTCTTTATCAAAATAAGATGGAACAATCCTATTTTGGCAGTTTTGGGAATCTTTAGAATAACTTCTTCACAAGGGAAACAAATATACTTGTCCTATATTATACAGCTATTACCCATTCATACTGTCTACTTTGAGAGCCATTTTGCAATAAATGTATAGTTGTGTCTTAAATGACTTAAATGAATACTGCATTTTTTTTATCCCAACTACTGGAGTTTTAGATAGCAGTAAATGTGCTTGCATTACTATATGTTTATCATATATGTTAGTATATATATAGTGTATGTAATGTGTGTATGTACAAGTTTGTACATGCTTCTTTTAGTTTAGATGGATATTGATTAATAGAATCATGTATAAAATTTAACCAAGTGGAATAAAGTGGATAAGAGTAACGGGTAAGTGAAGTCTGGCATTACTTCACCTTAGATTTTCAGAATCCCCAGAGACTGCACCTAATCCTGTCCTAATATGGATGTATAACGATCAACATTAACGACTGATTACTTTAAACAAGAGCCTTTCATGAATGACCAATATGCAACAAATGTCTTCCATATACAGAAAGCTGTTTAAAACAGGTAGACAAGTAAGTGATTCATACAGATATCTTTATTTTCTCACTTTATTGACTACCTAATCACATTACTTTATATTATATACTTAGCTTTATTTTATTTTCTCCTTTTACTACGGCTTAAATTCCTTTCATCATGGTCCCCTTCCGCCAGCAGTGCGAAATTTCAAGAGCTTTGCAGAAAGAGTAAGCAGACACTGGTTTGTGCACAATACAACAGATATGGATAGATAGAGATACTAGTACAATATAGGTACTTTTTATTAAGATAAAAAAGGATGTATACTTGATGATGATACAAGAAAACCATAATGTTGGTGATGGTAAGAAAACAAGCAACTTTCAAGCTATTTTAGCCTTATATTTATGACTAGATAGCCCTATCTGTATTTTCTAGAATCATTTTACAATTTTCTCACTTTATAGTTTTATCTGCACTAATTTTCAATATAAGGGTTGTAGGCAATGTAACATCTCCTCTATCTATGCAAATGGAAACATTCCTGCAAAAGGTTTCATCAAGGTTCCCTTCAATCACTAGTACAAAATTTCATGAGATTTACGGATAGAATAAGCACACACTTTCATTATTACAAACTGGGTGTCCAATCAATTCATAGCCATTGAACCTGGTATTTGGGAAATTATAACTGGTTTGTGCACAATGGAACAGATATGGATGGGCAGAGATACTGGTACAATGTAGGTACTCTTTACTAAATGATAAAAAAAACTATATATACCTGATGATGATAAAAGAAAACAATAATGTTGGTGATGGTAATAAAAACAAACAACTTTTCTAGCTTTGTTTTTATATTATTTCATATTTAACACTAGATGGCCCAATCTTTTTGTATTTTCTAGATTCATTTTACAACTTTCTCACATCACAGTTTTATGGCCAATGTAAACCTCTCCTCTATCTATGCAAATGAAAATATCCCTGCAAGAGGTTACACAAACTCTGACTCTGGATACCCTAAAGATGGTGTTGGTTGAAGGTCTGATGCACACGTTTGCAAAGAGTGAAACACTGCTGTTCTATCCACAACACACCTACAGTGTCTTCATCAAACACCATAACATGGGCAAAAGTTATAGCTGGTGTCAATGAGTATCTGTCCAAGCCATGTCCAAGATACCTGGAAACAAAAGGAGAGGAGAGGATTTTATTTTCCTAATAGAATGTACACAATGCCTTGGTCTGAGTCCAGCTGGCTTGAACAATGGATTGGCTAAATCTCCAGGTATCAACTGCATTGCATATGGTGTATCAAATAAAATAATGTTAAAAGTAAAGGTCAGAATCAAAAACAATTCCCCTCTTTTTGTTAAGATTGACTCTTTGGTGTCATATGAATAGTTTAAGCAATTAATTGAATTAATATGGTATGTAATTTTTACAATATCTCTCCCTAACTCTTGGTGCCACATAAATTAGGATTTTATGAGAAGTATGAGGCCCTGACAGTATTACAGAAGCATCTTATCTTCCTAAATTCATCCCTAACTTCTTTCCTAAGCAATCTAAAGGAATTTTCTTTTTCCCACTCTCTTCTACTCAATCACTCTCTAAATATATTTGTTTCTCACTTATTCATTTGAACTATTCTCTCACTCATTTTATCTATTCATTCTTTCCCCTTCTTGTCTGCCTGGTAGAAAGCTTCCCATTACTGTAGAATTATATCAATTTTCTTTTACCTACATAAGTAACAAACTTTGATGTTTGACCTTCAATTATTTGGGAAAACACTATCTTTTGTACTATATGT